GTATTTTAAAAAGTGTCCACAATATTCTGAAAGGTCTCTGTATGAATATATATATTTAAATATATATAAGTATTAACTTTCAATTTGTTATAATAACTTTAAATTTTTTAATTTAGTAAATAAATAAATACTCAAGTATTTATTTATAATTTTCTTCTTTTTTATTTTTAAAAAATATAAAGTATATAAAAAAATATTGTATTAAAACTTGTTATATCAATAATATTAAAATAAAATATTTTAAATTTATTTGTTTTATAAATAAGTAATATAAAAAATAAATATATATTAACTTAATAAATTTATAATAAAAGAAGAAATATATTTATATATATTATTATTATATTAATAATTATATTTAAACTAAGTACTTAAATAAATATATAATTTTACAAGTTTTTTAAATGATTTTTTAAATATTATTAAAATTAAAAAATTATTTTGATGAAAAAAATATTTTTCAAGAATAAATTCTAAACTTTAATATTTTATTTAATTATTTTTGTATTTGCTTATATATAATATATATTATTTAAAGTTATCAAATATTATTTTTTATAAAATATATAAACTTCTTAACTAAGAAGAAAATTCAAAATTTAATCTGTAAATATAATAAAATAAGATTTATTCTATTATTTATAAATTAAATTTTGAATTTTCTTCTTAGTTGAGAAGTTTATACATTTTATAAAAAATAAATATTTGATAATTTTAGATAATATATACTATAGTCTTCGAAAAGATAAATAAACTAATATATAATCTGATAATTTATAATTATATATTAAATTACAAGTTTATAGATTATTTTTTTAATATTACAGACTAAAAAGAATAATTTATTAATCTAAAATTCATATTTTCTTAATATGTTTCATCTGTAAGATTTAAATAATTTCTGTATTTTTTTAATTATAATTCAAGTATATTTTATATAATTTTAATTTTGTAATAAATATACTATAATATTAGAATTATTAAATATTTATATATATTTATCAATAAATTATAACTTAAAAATTAACTAATGAAAGAAACAAGTATAAATATCATTAATTAAATTTTTTGAATATATTTTGCATTTTTTTATAAGAATAAATATAAATATAACACTTTGTTATATAGTTAATTTTGTAATAATCTTGATATATATTCTAAAAATTAAAATAAATTAATTAATTAAATATAATCTAATAAAAAATTATTCAAATATTTTTAATTAGAATATCAAAAGTAATTTATCTAATAAAATTTTGAGCTATTAAACAATTTTTAAGTTAATAAATTTTATTAAATTTCGTAACCAGTATGATCACAAGATCACGTGATTATATAATGGCGAATTTTAACAAAAACAAAAAATTCTAAAATTCTAAATAACTCAAAATTTTGCTTAGGAAACAAAATTAACTTTTAATTATTTAATATCTCTAAATTGCATTATTTAAAGTTTTTGAAATATTACAAAATTGACTATATAACAAGTTATTACACATATTTTATTTCTTTTTATAATTCTTATACAGTCAAATCTCTTAATAGTTACACTTATTTATAATTATACTTCTCTATAATCATCCTGTTTTACTTTTCTATTTATATATAAATATAGTAAAAAAATTTCTCTATAGTCATATTCTCTCTATAATTACCAAATTTTGCTTTCTCAAGAATGATAACTATAGAAAGATTTGACTATATATATAATTTAAACTTTAACAAATTACTATTTTCTTTAGATTATTATTAATTTTTATATTAATAAAAATATATAAACACATTAATATATTAATACTTTTATAATTTCTCTTGAATTGCTTAATTAATATTATTTATATTTTATATTAATATTTAAACTAGCTTTTATTTATATTTTGGTAATTTTTCTTGAATTACATAACTAAATTAAATATCTTTTATTTTCTTAAAATTATAATAATTTTAATTATTATAAAAAATAATTAATTAAAACTATTAACAAAAAATTTAAATAATGACAAATTAAGAAATTCTTAATTAATTAAGAATACAAATTATTATAATAATTTTTTCATGATATTTTTATATACAATTTATTTCTAATTACAAATTACTAAAATTACTAATTCATTTCATTCATTATGATGCACACCATCTAAAGTCATCAAATATTTATTTTTTATAAAATATATAAATTTCTCAACTAAGAAAAAATTCAAAATTTAATTTGTAAATATGGTAGATTGAGTCTTATTTTACCATATTTACGAATTAAATTTTGAATTTTCTTCTTAGTTGAAATGATTTTAGATAATGTGCACCATAATAATAATAATAACCATGTCATAAAATTCTCATGTTCCATAAAATCACTAATTTATTTGTTAATAATACGTAATTACATTATGCATTTACAGATAGACATGTGATATTTCCATAATCCATCATATCATATATCACTATCACGTGATCACAAGGAAAAGGGATGTGGATATAAGGAAATTATTTTTGTTAACTTTTTGATAATTAATCGTTATTTTTTGCCAATAAAAGTATAATTTTAGTCTTTTCAGTAGATATTCAATCTTTTGCGTGCTGAGAAAAATCTTCACTATAGCTTATATCGAAAGTTTACTATTAAACTTCGCTATATCAAGTGAAGATTATTAGTGATGGTTTTGTTCTAAAGATAAACCAAATTTTCACTATATCGAGAATGTCTTGTACATAAAATATTCAATTTTATCTAAGACTTTTAAAGAACAATATTACCTACCAGTTTATTTTTTCTAAATGCTATTTCTATAAAAGGTAGATATATTTTAAATACCTCATTTTTATTATTGAGTACAGTCTTCCTGCACCATATGAAATTGTTATTTATTAAGTTTTGGGAAGAATTGTCATGACAAGCAAAGTAAAAAGCTTTCAGATTCGACAGAGTAAATATCTTTGAAAGTACCAATATTAATTGTTTACTTGTAACATGTCACAGGAATTCGAGATTTATACAAAGAATTTTTTTAAAACTATTTCCATAAATAAATCAATAACGATAAATAGTAAAACAAACTGAATCAAAGAAAAAAAGAAACCCCTATTTTTGCCGTTAAAGTGAAAACCAGCACCAAAAATCTCAACATTTAGTTGCCGCATTGAGTCGTTCCACTATTTGGATTATATGTCGCATAGAAACGAACAGATGATAATGTGCAAGCTCCTCCAGCAGTCACCAACAGATAATATTCGCCAGATTTCGGACTCAATCCCAAATTCAGATTGAAATTTGGAGTAGATGATGTTTCGGTTGGATCGAGTTCTCCAAACCATTGTGTCTGAACAACGTTTCCCCTCGCGTCATATAAGTCCACACAGGTGACTTTTATTTGACCACGTGCGTTCGCTCCGGCGTCGAAAGATACTTGGTAGCATTGGCCTTTTTTATAAGAAGAAAAAAGAATTTGTGTTAGATACATTCATATGATCTTAAAAAAATGAATTGTAATACGTAAATACCATTTGTCCACTGGAGTCCAGGTTGAGTAGGTGAAGTAATACGTAACCCATTACAATTGTTATTTTGTCGTTTAATAAATTGAAATGCAAAGACGACAGAAGAAAGTGTCATTACAAGTAGAACAATCAATGCACTTTTGCTAATAGCTAATGATTTCATTTCGAGATTTTATTTCTTTAACATTCGTAACGATAGGTCTCCTTATAACTACGTATCACATGTGGCTGTGACAATTTGTTTTTGTGGCTGTGAAATGTAACACTAACACTAACTACATGTATCTCATAACAATAAGAATGCGCAAATCATATGTGTGCCGGCAACTATTAAAGGTTAATTTTATTGTTTAGGTTAGGGTAAGGGTTAGATTGGAGAACAAAGTGATATGTAAAATTTCCTCTCCGACATTTTTTATTAGAACTCCAAGTTAGATTTAGACATATGGTTCATTTTTTTGTGTCGGATTTTTTTTTCCGGGCTGATCAAAAATTTGCGCATCCTTATTGGTTTGTCATGTGCATGTGATCAGGAACCGAGCACAGATTTAATACGCAACAGTACATGCGTAATGTGTATACCGATACAACATACGTACCAATACGTATATATGTACATGTTCATGTGTATGTGTGATTTTCTGTGGCAATTCAAAATACATAATGTGTGAAGAAAATAACAGCGAAAACAAAGAATGGATTGTGAGTTTCGAATTTCTAAGATAATTTAATATAATAATTTGTGTAATAATTAACCTTATTGTTTCCATATATCGATACGTATAGCACATGTTTGATAAAGTTGAATGTTATGAATTCAGCGAATTCGAAAACACCGAATTCATTAACATCTGTGCTCATGGGTTGTCGTGTCGTGCATTTTGGCCTCGAAAAGAAATCGAAGTCTCGCTTTTGGCATATGAAGATTTTGGATTGGGTGAATCTAGTGACTTTGATAAATTGTTTGAAAAAGTTTGTATTATAAATTTTGGTTTTGATATTTTGTAAATATTAAAAAAATTGCTAAATAAATGATGACAGAAAAAACTCGCAGAAAAATTGGAAAAATTGAATCATCGAAACTTGTTAAGATTGTTAGGCTATGCACAAGGTAAATGTCAAACTTTGATTTTATTATGCAAAGGGAGCCCGTAATTGAGAGATTTTGATACTAATAAGAATATGTTTTCTCAATAAAAGATGGCTTTAGATTATTTTTAATTATGGAAAAATTCGAAATATCTCTTGCGCAATATTTGAAAGAGAATGAGAATTTATTGAATCAAGATTTTGCAATTTCTGTAGCTAAAGAACTCGTTTCTGGTCTAATCTATTTGGAAGCAAATTACGAGATTCAGAATCTGGTGAACATTACAAAATTTTTTCTCATATTAAGCTCTCGACTAATATGATGTTAAATTGCAACTATTAGAATATGATGAATATTTGGATGGATAAAAATATACCGAAATTCGCCTACTTGCATTTGATTCAAACTTCTCTCGACATCCCAAATCCCGAAATAAATTTTTATGATTATCTCAAATTTATCGATCCGAACTTCATCAAGGATCCAAATTTTGTTTGCGATAAACGATCCAACTTGTTCAGTCTCGGTATCATTCTCGCGTCACTTGCTGGAATTTCAGTATATGATTCTGACGATCCAGAACAATTTATACTCGATGTTTATAATGAAAAGTTTCATTGGAACACTAATATGATATCCGTTGCATATGTTCAGCTCTGCCGACGATGTTGCGCATCAGATCCTGATTTAAGACCAAGTTTTAATGAAGTTCTTTTCACACTTGAAAATTTGGAAACACATATTAATCATGTTAAAACAAACGTGCCTGAATTAAATGTATATCCACAAGGAACGGAAAAATTGGAGGAATCGTCCGAGTCAATGCTTCCCTCATTTATAAACTTGGCGAAAGTCTTAACGGAAGATGAATACGAGATTCTGGAAAGCACCTTAAAGACATTTGATAAATACACAAGAATTTTCGGAGACGACAATAAAGTAATGAAGAAAATAGAAGAACACCTCACAGCATTAAATCAATCTCTGCGTAATTTTACATACATTTTGAAGAAATTACGTTTCCTACCAAAATGTGCCTGCTTATTCGGCTTCTTTAATCAAGTCGGTCCCACAATTGATTATAATCAAGCAATTTACTGGTACAAAGTCGCAACATATGGAAAAGATGCTTTTGGTGCAAATCAGCTAGGATATTGTTATTCAAATGGTATGGGAACAAAATCAGACAAGAAAATTGCTTTTGAATGGTATCAAGTATCCGCGAAAAGAGGACATCCACAAGGAACAGAGAATACAGCACATTTGTATCCTATATATTATGGATATGCTGAACAAACTCAGAAAAAGGTATTCGAAATGTATCATAGCAACGCGCAAATTGGATATATAAATGGACAATACCGAACTGGTGTGTGTTATGCGCGTGGCTATGGCGTTACGGTGAATCATCGAATCGCCACCTATTGGTTTAAAAAATCTGCTGAAGGTGAAAATGAGTATGGAGAATATGGTGTGATCACTAATCTGAGGGAAGGGTTCGGGACAAACGTAGATGTGCATGAGGCAATTCGATGGTGTCGCAGATCATTAAGAAATGGAAGTCGATATGCTGAACGTTCTTTGAAGGAAACTTTCAGAGTCGAATAGTTGGAATTCGGTCAATGGCGGTTGGATTTTTTTAAAAAGTACCAATTTTTAAAAACAACCACACAAAAATTTTATTTTTGAAATTCCTCTAAATATGGTTTTATGTGCTATACAAAGTCAATACATGATAAATTCTCTTTCTATGTCAACGCAGGCTTGAAAGCAGCTTGATATGCTAAAAAGATTATAAGTGCTATATCTGGCAATATTATTTCGATTTTTTTTCTTAACGTTAAAGACTTGTTGATTTAGCGTTTATGTAGTCGCGAGTCAAAGTGATGCCCTTAATGATTAACTCTTACAATTAATCAAAATTCTGCCTAACTATATGGTAAAATTGTCCCGCCGAAACTGCCTTTGTTTTCCATGAGCTATTGATTCTTCATAGCAACCGCTGAAATAAGATTTTCGACTTATTTTTTCAGCAATTTTGTAAATGAGTGATCCATAACGATAAAACAAATTACGTAAATCAAGAATGTAAGCGTACTAACCCCCTCCCGTTTTGATTAGATGCAAGTAATTTCCATCGCTGATTGGTTGACTGCACATCGGGTCTTCTAGATTAACCAATAAAAATGCATAAATTTTTTATTAATCCGGCAAAACAAATCCGACCCAAGAAAATTAAAAATGAAATATACAGAAATCTGCCTTGAAGCACTAATAAAAAATGTTGGGGAAGCAATTTTACATATAATCTTATCTCCGCTCTAACCCTAACGCTAAAATTAACCTTTAATATCCTCAATTTGGAGGAAATTAGTAATTCCTTTCTTGCACAAAATGTCATTTTTATCTGCTAACGTTAATAGCCAAATACGTAGTGCCCTATTCAAAGAACATTGCAAATCGACGTAGAGAAAGGTCATCTTAGTTGCTTGATACCAAGGAATTATTTTTATTAATTCTAAATAATCATTACCTACGATTAAGTGAGAATAATATAATTATATGCGGTCAAAACAAAATTAAAATTTTGAACAAACCGAAAAAGTCTGATACATTTGCATTTCCATATATCATTTAAAAAATCTAATTTACAATCGTATTTCTCGGGAATACAAGACGAACCATCATATTCCAGTATTGAAGTACTTTCAGGATGTAGCATAATCTATAGCTAAAGCCAAACGTCGTTATAAAATCAAAATAATAATGTTAATATCTTTAAATAAGAAACGGCTTCGTCATAAATTATCGTCATTGTTCTCGTTATTATCTCAGTTATCATAAAGAAACATCATTTTCTATGCCCAAAACATTTTGTAACTGTCCTAAACTGTCCTGTACTATCGCTATGTCTCAACCTGTATGTCATGACAACACTGTGTTCATTAAAACACAACACATAATACATGTAACTAAAAACATTTTTATATAAAGTGAGCTCAAAGATGGAATTTGAAATTCAGAATACATGTACGCATTCTAAATGCTGCGACGAATGTTTAACTTGTTACACTCATGATTGTAGTAAATGTGCTCGTTGTCAAGAAAATGATTACTGCGAAGAATGTTCGAAATATAACTTATCAAATTTATAAAGTTTGATGGTCTAGCAAAATAAAGATGTCGACAGCCTAATCTTTCGAATGGTCCCTTTGAAGAGTTTACGTTGAATATCTTGCAAAAGGAGAATTCAGGAAAAATCAACATTTATATTGTTGGATTATCTTAGAATCATGACTTTCATCCTTAATATTGCTCAAACGACTTGCCAGTCCAGCAGGTATAGAAAATATAATCGAGAAATTTGCGGAATACTTGCGGAATACTTCCTTGTATTAATCCAGAGGTGCTAAATAGAGAGCCATACAGAGCGGGGTGGTTATGCATGAGATTGTAACTATAATGGAGTATGTTCTATAATCTTCTTGGATGGTGCAAATTTACTATTGAAAAATGTTGGGCACCTATTCCAGAAAACAGACCAACTGATAATTAATTATTTGAATACACCCGGATTCTGTTAAACATTAGATAAACCTCCATGTTTTTCTATCAAGATGGTGTGCATATTAATTCGACCATTCTTATTTCAGCTTTTAATAAAAATCCCACACAAAAATCTGCTAATGGTGTTATAAACTTTATTTTCCTGCTATTAACATACAAACTTTCTTAAGTAACTAATACTTAGTTATGCCGCCATCTGTTATCAACCCGGCAAAACAAATCTGACACAAGAAAATGAGAAAGACGAAAGTGTGAAAAACACTAATAAAAAATGTGGCGGATTAAAACGAATCAGATTAAAACGAAATAGGGACCTTTTTAAAATATCACGTGGTCTAATTTTATTGGTCAACATTAATGTCATTTTACATGTCATGTAATAATGCAATATCATGCCATTAATCCAATCAGCGAATTTAACATGCTCATTATTCATCCAAAGTTTAATTATACATTGATTTATTTATTCACAAAAAAAGCTTTCATATTACTTTTATCTTACTTCTATTGACTTTTTTTCATCACAAAGTTCTTTGCTTCTCCATTCACTTTTATTCTAACAGTTCTATTATTATTTGTATTATAATCATTGACAATTGTAACCTTGTTTCTCAGTTTGAAGATCAAATTTTTTTAATAAATGCTTTCTCAGATAACCAATTTATTTTAATATCATTTTTCATTTTGCATAATTTTCTTTCTTATTCTTTTCATCTGCATTATATAAATCTTATAAGTATTATCTTTTTGCATAACTTTGATAATTGTTTTATATTATTAATTTTGATTTGCTCATTATCCTCTTGTATTACACTTTCATAACTTGATTATTATTTTTTTCATTACTTCAATAATTATTTATTCAGTATATTATTGATTCTGACTTTGTATTATTTTATCCAAAGTACTATAAATCTCTCAAATTTTGAAATTAAAAAGATTTTATATGGTAATTTATTATGAACTTCATGAGAAATTTTGTTGTAAGCATTTATAAATACAGAAAGAATATTAATTTATCAATACTCTTGAATTTTAATATTTTTATTTTATAGTATTTTTATTAAATACTAGCTAAATATTTGATTAACTCTTTTAATTTTTCTTAACTTTATGAATGATGAGTTCAACTATAAATAAACTTTATCTAAGAATGATAATAAAAAATTAAATAAGAATAAAGAATAATTTTATTAAGTATATTATATATAGTAGCAATCAAAAAGAATAGAATACTAAAATAAATTTATTAATAAAATTGAGTTTTTCTATTTATATAAAGTTTTCAATATTACTAATAAATATTTTTTATTTTTACATTAAAATGAAGATAATATCACGTATTTTAATATATATTTTTTTCAGATTTAATCTGATAAAGTTGTTCTAATTGCATATAAAGTCAATTATTTTTTTATATATTTTATTATAAAAAAATAATTGATTTTATATGCAATTAAAACAGCTTTATCAGATTAAATTTGAAAAAAATATATATTAAAATATGTGATATTATCTTCATTTTAATATAAAAATAAAAAATATTTATTTATTAATTAGCTAGAATAAAATCAAAAATTATATTTTTTTTAATAATTAATTTATAAACAAGTTAAATATAGTTTTTTTTATTAATTTAATTATGTACTATTAACTTGATTAATAAATGAGAGGTTAATCTCAAATATTATAAGAAATATAATTTTACTAAAGTAGATGAGAAATTATAAAACAAATAATAAATTAAAACAAAAGATTATAAATTAACTAAATAAAAAAGAATATATAAAAGATAAGTTTAACTTTGTTAACAAATTATTAGCTAATTATTAAGTTCTGTTTTTTTAATCTAAAATACATGTTATATTTATAATTAAATTATAAAAACTAAACTTCAATAAAATTATAGATTAAATTAAATTTTGAACTAAAATTCAAATAGAAATTAAATTCAAAATTCAAAATAAAATTCAAACTGAAATTTAAATAGAAATTTAAACTGAATTTTAAATTAAAATTAAAATTTAAACTGAATTTTTAATTAAAATTTGAATAAATATTTGAATTTCAAATATTAATTATAAATATTAATATAGAAATATAAAATTAATTATAAGAAATATTAAATTATAACAATATAATTTTGTTAAATTTCTTAATAAAAAATAGTAAAAATCAAAAAAATTAATTTTTACAATATTTTATTAAGAAATTTAGCAAAATTATATCTTTTTAATTGGTTATTATTTTATAATAATAAAGAAAATTTAATTAAAAATTAATAAATATATTTTTTAAGTTATAAAAATATATTTTCTTAAAAATATATTAATAAAAATATTTTTGATTTTTTTTATTTCACTTAACTTTTAAATATTCCAATTTGTAATTTTTAATATAAATTTTTACAAAATTTTTTTATTTTAAGTATATTTGTATTATTAAACAAATTGGTTTTTTAAATTCTATATTTATATATATATAATTTTATAAGTTTAAATAAATTTTCGTGAAATTATACCTAAAAAAATCTAAATTCTTATTATTATAATAACTATTATAACATAAAAAAATTTTATTATATAAATTATTAATTAAAAAACTAGAATAATAATTTTATATATATTTAAAATATTTAAATAATTTAATTTTTTATTAAATAAATTAATAACTATCTGAATAATTTGATTTATAATTAATTAATAGATTAAATTTATCAATAATATATTATACTACATTGATATTTTTTAATAATAATTATTTATTAATTTAATATTAAATATTTTTGTAACAAAATTTATATTAATTATATAGATCCTTATTTATTGTATTATATATAAATTCTTATAGATTATTCTAGAAATTATTATACAAATTATTATTTTATTATAATTAAGTAAATTACTTATTAATTAGTATAATATTAAATTATTAATTGATTTATAAAAATAATTATATTAATAATCTTTTAGATTCTTTATATTTATTAATTAGTTAACTTTTTATTTTGTTTTTTTACATCAGGAAATTTCTATACCCGT